CTAAGGACAAAGCCACAGAACCTTTGTTTCCGGCTCTTGTAATACTGTGTGGGTCGGCATGTGGTAAACACACTGAAACACGAATGTACATGCTGGTATATCTGCCGATATGTCTTTCTACCTGTGTGTGTGTGTTTGTGTGTTTGTTTGAAGTGTGTGTTTTTGTGTGTTTGTGTGTGTGTGTTTGTGTGTGTGTTTGTGTGTTCTGTGTGTGTGTGAGTGTGATTATAATATATATATATATATTTATATATATATATATATATATATATATATATATATATATATATATATATATATATATATATATATATATATATGTTGTTGATGTGCGTGTGTGACACACACGCACGCACGCGTACACTCACACACACACACACACACACACACACACACACACACACACACACACACACACACACACACACACACACACACACACACACACACACACACACACACACACACACACACACACAATGATAATACATACAATAATAAAATAACAGTAATGTGCTTTTAAAGGTACGAAGCCCAGAAGGAAAAAAATCTCGAACCAATTTCCCGATCATTCCCGTAATCATTTTCCAAAAGTTTTCCACTCGCAAATGCCTCGATTTTATATATAAAAAAGCAATGCAATGCATGCAAATTAGGGCGAAACTTTTAAAGATTTGCATCATCGTATGTTCCTTAACCTCAAGATGAAAGGATGGGATTTTCGAAGATAGACTTTACTGTAAGCAAATGTAAGGTTTTCTTTTAAAATATCTGTCTATTTGTCGATTGATTTATAAATAATATTGATAATGATAATAATAACAATAGTAACAAGACTAATTATGACAATAATAATGGTAATAATAATGATGATAATAATGAAAATAATAATAATAATAATAATATTAATGAAAATAATAATAATAATGATATTAATAGTAATGATGATAATAGAAACAATGCTAATAATAATAATAATAATCTTCTACGACGTTTCCCTTATTTAGGGGTTGTCACTTTCCACATACTGCTTTTCTCCACTTCTTTCGGTCTTGTGCCCACTGCTCTTCGATGTTCCTTTTCTTCATGTCGGCCATCACACAATCCAGCCACCTCTTTCTTTGTCTTCCTCTGCTCCGCTTTCCAGGGATAGGCAGATCCATCGCTTTCCGTATGCCTTCTTCCTCATGCCTTCTTTTCACATGGCCGAACCATGTGAGTCTTGCTTCTTCGATCTTGCTACTAATGCTTGTGACTCCTGCTTCAGCTAACACCTCTTCGTTTGTTTTCTGCTCTCTTAGACTGATTCCCAACATCCACCTCAGCGTTCTCATTTCCGTTCTCTGCAGCAGGCTCTCTTATTTCTTTCTTAAGGCCCAAGTTTCTGCTCTGTACAATAACACAGGTCTTATCACAGTTTTGTACATTTTCGCCTTCAGCTTGGCTGGTAACTTTTTGTTGCACATCACGGCAGAAACCTCTCGCCACTTGGCCCACGCTGCCTTCACATAGACTTTCACTCCTCTCTCACATCCTCCTTTACTTGCCATCGTGCTGCCGAGATACTTGAACTCATCAACTTGGTCGTACTTTGCGCCGCTCTCCTCTTTGATGTTTATCTTTCTTCTTGCTCCTTTGCTGCTACTCATGACGACAATCTTCTTCATGTCCACTTTTAGCCCTCTACCCTCGAGTGCCTTCTTCCACTTCCTGAGCTGTGCTTCCAAGTTCTTTTCACTCGTCGGTGGAATGACCAAGTCGTCGGCGAACAACATTTCCCAGAGCAATCCTCCTCCACACTCCTCACTCACCACATCAATAACTATGATGAACAGGAGTGGACTCAGGTTTGATCCTTGGTGAAGGCCGACTTTCACTTCAAATTCTTCCGATGTTCCCTGTGGCGTTCTGACCGTTGTGGTTACACTTTCGTAGGTATCCTTCACGATGTTAATGAGGTACTCTGGAACTCCTTTCTTCCCTAGACATCAGTAGACCAGCTCTCTGGGCACACTATCATATGCCTTTTCCAAGTCAACAAAGGCATAGTATTGATTCTTGTCGCCTTCCAGATGTTTCTCTTGGAGATGCCTCAGTAAAAATACAACATCAATCATGCCTCTCCCCTGTCTAAAGCCAAACTGCAGGTTTCTTATATCCACTGCTTCTCGGATCTTCTGGTTCAGGATCTTTTCCTCAACTCTCAAGAGGTGTTCCAGGTGTCTTTCTGTTTATACACTAGCACTAGTATACTTGTCCTCCAATCTTCTGGGATGTTCTCTCCATTCCATTTTTTTTAAGATCTCGTGGGTCCACATCGCATCTTCACTCTCCAAGGCATCCAACATCTCTACCACCACCTCCGATGTGCCTGCTGACTTGTTCTTCTTCATCTTCTTGAGGACGGCTGACACCTCCTGCAGGCTTACTTGCTGTATCGGACCTTCCACTGCAGGTAGTTCTGCTAGCTCTTCCCATTCGTTCTCTACATTCAACTCTA